AGGGAGAGAAAGAAAACCGGTGTGTGACTGTGGCCTCCCGGTGTGCAGGGGCACATACAAATATCAGGCAAAGGCATCAAGACGAGCACATTCTATGGTTGGAGGATCTGGGTGGCGCTTGCGAGTTCCCTGACCTCTGCACACGTTGGTACCTGCGAAAACTGCACACCAGCAGAAAGACTGCACATGAGTAAGTGTGTGGCCCACGAGGGACACACACCTTCACCCTGTTCTGCAGACAACCGCTTTCTGAAGAAATGCAATAAACACCCTCAAAAAATTCTAAGCAGCTCATTATATACCCCCGTCTGCTTTCATGGCTCCAAGCCAGAATATAATGATGAACCTTAACTTGTTAAGGACAACTAATTTTTGTTTCTGGCTGTCTCAGGGGCCTCTCTCATACTCACTCTCGCTTTGCTTCAGTGCTGACACATTTCTGTTAGCCGCATGTCATCCGCCGGCCTTGATTTTATGCACAAGCAGTAGGATGCATTTTCCCGTGCAACAATCCCGCTTTGAGTTGCATTAGGATTGTCATTATTCTCTCATTTTCCCCCTTGCACTTGTAACATTTCATCTCTTCCTGCCTTATTTTTTGTGAGCCACGGTGCACCCACATTATGGTTTATACATGATCTCGCTCCCTTTGAAGCCGGCAGATTTCAGGGCCCGCTCTCGTCATGAGAGGAGCCTTGCCCAATTTAGCAGGCTGAGGGCCCGGAGCTCCAACATCTCAATCTAAAGGGGGTCACAGGGTGGCACAAGTGAGTGTCAGCAAGAGCTGTTTAATTGCCAATCTAGGCTTCTCCATGGTGTTTAAAGTATAATGACCCATCACTTAATTCCGAGAAGTCCTGGCCCCGCTGCTGAATAGAATAAATATCAAAGGGTGTTCTGGAACAGGGCAAGCTGCCTACATTCGCTATAACTGCCATACATATAATAGACCTATACTTCTGTCGCCCCATTACCACAATAATGCATTTAATTTGCTGTATACGCTTTTTTAACTAGCTACCTTTCATTTGGCCTACCTGGGGAATTGGCCACCTCCCCCCCGTCACGTACCGCCAGCCCCTAACCTTTCTTCTCGCCACCCCCTTCCTTTCCTCCATCCTCTGCGACCTATAAATCATCAGCTGGCCTCCTAATGATAATTCAATCAATAAGCTTAACCCCCAATCCCGATCCTGCGATTACTTTGTTGCTTTCAACCTCTGGATGCAATGAACAAACAAGCAGGAGGAAGGGTTGGGAGCAGCATGTGAACGCTGGGACCGAGTCAGGATCATAAGCAGCCCCCTCCCCTCTCCTCCCAGGAGGTTTCCCATTCGTTCCCACGCTTTACAGGGACTGGTGACGACATCATTTAATGAGTATAACCTTTCTACTTTCTCCAGCCGAGAGGATATAGAAAGTCATCTTCCTGCCTAGCTTACATGGGCATGGATTCAGAGATTGAGATGATATATCACATGTAGGGCCCAGATCTTTCGAGCTGCATGATATTTGTGGATAATTATAAAGTCTAGCCTGCCTTTCTCGGGGGGGGGGGGTATTTCACTCTATCCAAAACAACAGTTGCTGTCCTGCAAGCAGGAGAAGAAGGCATTCCAGGCAACCTTCAGTCCTTGGCCACAGAGCATGGAGGCAGAGGCAGGGGGACAGCAGCCTTGCCATGTACTGCATGCTAATTGAATCACGTGGCATCATCAAAATGGATTGGTTGCTTCAGCCCATCAGGAAAGTCTAAACCTCCACCGATTTAATTAACTCAACCGAAAATCAGATGAACAGAAAATAAAACTATCATTAGGGGCAATTAGTGACTACTTAAACATACTGCTGCCAACCAGTTTGTAAATAAACTAGCAGTCACTGAAAAATTAGCTGGAATTAATTAGAGAGAGGAAAATGAGTCCTGGGGATACATGTATATGCAGTATATATGTTTTAAATATGAGTCTATGGGAATGGATGCACACATAATTTCTTTCCAACTTTCAAAGATTTAGCAGCACTGGGGAGGACAATAGTATGGCCACCAGGCATGTGCCCTTAAGTTCCTCAAATGTGCCCAGTCCAACTTGATAAGTGCTATAAAGTGTAAATGCATGTAACATGTAAAAGTTAAGAAAAACAGAAAATCAGAATGGCAGCTGTGGCATGGCCGCAGTGTATAGAAACGAGAATACTGCAGTCACACTGTATGACTGATAAATATAACGTGGGGGTCGTAGTGGGCAGAGGGAAATCTTCTTAAAGTGATAGACATGAAAGGTTGAGGGGGGAATGTAAACATAATGTTAAATGCAATCTGGATCCCAAGAAATTTCTACTGGACACTGCTGCCTTAAGAGACCAGGATACAGCTTATTACAGACTCTGAACTGAAATCTGAGCTTTCTAAAGACCCATCTATTTTTTTTCTCAAATCTCTGAATAATAATCATTAAGTTCTCCTCTCCTCACTTCCTTCTTTCTTCCCAGCAGAGGACAACAGAGAACCAATGACTTAAGAAGCACCCTTTCTAGCAGCTTATCCCTGAGGCACCACTCTCTCTCTAGCCACTTTCCCCTTAAGCCCCGCCCACTATAGCACCTTTCCCTCTGAAGCCCCGCCTACTCTAGCCGCTTTCCCTTAAGCCCCGCCCTCTCTAGCACTTTTCCTTCTGAAGCCCTTCCCACTTTAGCTACTTTCCCCTTAAGCCTGTCCGCTCTAGCAGCTTTTTTCTTGAAGCACCGCCCACTCTAGCCACTTCTCCTGAAGCACCGCCCACTCTGGCTACTTCGCCCCAGAAGCACCGCCCACTCTAGCCACTTCCCCCTGAAGCCCCAGCCACTCTAGACATCCTTCCCACGCACACTTCGCTGTTGTTTTTAAGGTTTATTTATTTTTATGTGTATGAGTGTCTGCTCCTGTATCAATGAGCCTGCCTGTCTCTAGAGGAGGCCAGAAGAGGGTTCTGGATTCCCGGAACTGGAGCTATAGATGGTTGTGAACTGCCACGTGGGTGCTGGGAACTGAAGCCAGGCCTTCTTCATGAGCAGCAAGTGCTCTTAACTGCCAAGCTTCTCCCAGCCCCACAACTGCCTTTTTAATCTGTGACACTATGTTGCTCTACATCCAGATAGGCTACTAATGTCTTAGACAGGCAATCACTTACCTTGAAAGGTCAAGGCAACTTTCTGGGATTTTGTAGAGGGAAGCCAAGTGAATGTTGGTCTATATTATTATACCCACACATGTTCATGGGCCCTGGTGGCCTGGCAGCTGTCTAGAGGACCTTTCTGAATGGTCACTGCAACTCACCTAGACATAGAAGCGTTGACTGTCAGCGCTGTGGGGTAGGGGTGTCTGAACCCTCCTGTCGTGATTGGGTACACAGGCTGACCTTGCCTACAAAGAAGGGGGTACAAAAAGTGAGAGACTAGAAATAAGGCCGGGGTGGGAACGAGGAAACGAAGAAGAGGGGAAGTTCTCTCTGTACAGTAAGCTTTATTCTCATTTGATCAGAACAAAAATCTTGGGGATTGTACAGGCAGGATCAAAGGGAAGAAACACAGAACAATTTGAATGCCATAAATCTGATAGGAATGGCTAATTAAATTTTATAACCTCTGCTTATGTCAATAGAGACCCTCTCCCCAAGCTGAGACTAGGTGTTTTGTTGTAATAATTAAAGGCGAAGTCTCGCTTGCTTTAATGGAGCCATCACACTAATTGAGGGCTACACATCCAAAGGAAAACAATAATGAATGTAAATTTATACCAAAATAAAGTACAGCGAATCAAAGGACTTCAGTTGCGCTTTGGGCCTCTTTCGGTATTTAGATCTCGGTGAGAAAACATTAAATTAACAGAGCTTAATTTGTAGCCTTTTGTCAAATTAACAAGTGTTGACAAGAGTTACCGGGGGGGAGAGTCCCCAAGAAGAATTGTGGGTAACCAATAGACAATCACACCTCATTACAATAATTAAAAAATACAGCAACATGCAGAATAGCATCCTCATGAAAGACACACAACTTCTCCTGACAGAGGGCTGTCTGAGTTGGCTATTCCTTTTTATCTAGCCTTCGGCATCTCCCCATCTGATGACTGGACTACTGAGGCTCGGCCTCATCCAGTGGAGAAGCCGCCGAAGAAGCAGGTCCAACCCTCATATCTACCTCAGCAAACAAAAATAAGACAAAAAAACAGAAACTGTATCCACAATTAGTACTTAGCGTAGCTATTGCCCAACACAACCTGTTGTTTTTAGATGGACAAACAGCGCAGGCTCTGCTCAACCGGAGGAGAAAGAAAAGTTGGAATGGGGATACTATTCCAAAATTGTATCGCCTTGAGGACTATAAAAGTCTGTTTTCCATAAGACCCAGATTGGACAGTTTCACCAGGATTTCTTCCCTGTGCTTTCTAAAGCTAGAAGTCACTGATAAAATGGAGAAAGAGGTGCATAAAAATATATAATCTCAAACATTACGTGCACTTCCATGCATGGCACAAAGTACGCTTAATCACGAAAGGCCTTTCTGCTCTGGTGTCTAAACCTATCATTCTTTTGAGTTGTAAGCGGCAGTCAAATTATTCGGGCACTGCCAGGACTAGAGTCAACCAGGCAGCCCAGGCCCTGAATGCCAACAGGAGGGCTCTCCTTGTCCCTCTGTAACCCCATAGTAGGCTAAAGCATTAGCCATGTCAAGAATCTCAGAGATGCTGGAGAGATGACATGAGCTCCCTCCCATTGTTGCTATCCGCCTTCAGGGTGAAGGGTTAAATGATAGCTGGGGTGCATGGGATGAAGGGGGAAAGACCTCCACTCCCTCTCCAAGATTTCCCCTAGATCTCACCCTGAGATCTTGCCATTAAGTTGCTCCTATTTCCAGCCCCTTGTTGCCACAGAAGCAACACCTAAAACAGAGCGCTCAACCCAACAACACGAGTCCAGTTTGGGTTGCTACTGCAGGGAGAGCCAAAACAAGCTTCACTAGCTTACTGCAGGACATCTTTGGGTCCCATGGGTTCAGAGTGCCAATGACCACTGACCCTTTTCAACACAGATCATTGAAATGGTGTGATTTCTGCACATCCACAGGACACCTCGACCGCATCTCCCCTGTGTTATCCCGTCAGCTAGCTGTCCGCCAACACAGACTCACCCGTGCTCAGACACACAGACATACCAGACATACACAAAGACAGACAGACACACACACATACACACAATAATAATAATAATAAGCATGCTCATGCAAGAAACAAAAACAGAAATAAAAACTGGAGCTGCTTACTGTGGTACTAACCATCCTAGCGGATGGGGGATTTGTCCTACGGTGCCGGGCGACAGCGGGTAATATGGAGAGATATCTGGAGGGTGCGGAGGCCGTGGGATTCCTGAGAAAAGAAGGAGTGGGTTTTAGGTATGCAGGAAGAGCGAAAAGCAAGAGGGACTGTGGAGGGAGGGGAGCAGGGAAGGAATAAGGAAAGGGGCTGTCTCTCCTCAAATCGCAGCTGGAGGCCAAGGCTGACTCTGGGGGAGAGGGCTGTTCCCAGCTTTCTTCTCCTACGGCGCCAGTTTGCACAGTGAGTTAGCTCGTTCTGGAGGGACTGGTGTGGCTGAGTGAATGTGAGCAGGAAGATGCCACCTTGGCTATTTTTGCTCTGTGTGATTACTTCAAGTTTTTTTTTAAAAAAAAAATCTAAAAAGCATGGCACACTGCAGGTGAGCGAGTCATAATCATTAATGCCTTTTGCTTTGTTACTTGGTCCATTACCCTTTATTTTGAGTGACTTGCCTATATGAGAGTTATACTTTTGATTTGTAAAACTTAATGAATTTATTTTAGTGTTTTGAGTCAGAGCTAACTACACAGCCCATGGTGACTTTGAATGCACAACCTCTTGCCAAGTGCTGTGATTATAGACATATCTTGCAGTTCATTCTAAGTTAGTGCTCAAAGAGGTGACCCTGACTTCTTTCAAAAGACTCAGCTCCCATAGCTGGCCAATTCCTCCCTGAAGAGAAACCACCAAATGCCAGCTGGTGTCTTTGCCCCAGGAGTCAAACCTGAATGGATAGGGAGAAGGTGGGCCTGGGGTGCTCAGCTCTGGCCTGGTTCCCTGAATGGCAGATTCACCTGTGGGCACCAGGGTACTCGATGGGTCAGAGGGGCCGTGAGCCTTGTTGAGGCCCGCAGCATTAGACGTAGAAAGTCAGCCCCACAGCTCACTTCTTCACGGCACAGGCTGCACATCTGGCCGTCCATCCTCAGGAAGTGGAGTCCTGAGAGCAATTTGGCTTGAGAAAAATGGCTCTGCCTAGCTGCCCAGTCCAAGTGGGAGGCGACATGTGCAGAATGTGCCAGAATTAACCCAGAATCGAAGGGACAGGACAGCAACGTTCATGAATTAAAAACTATCTCATTTTTCAAGAAATTCATTCAGGAAGCTTTTAATCTGTAAATTAAGTCTCCCTGGGTGATATTTTAATGCAGACATTGCTTTCTCTCTATTACAAAAAGCAAACAGATTAGCCGGGCTTGGACCCTACACCGAGCCGTTTGCACACTTGAAAGAATGTTCGCAGAGGAAAAATAAACAGTCCTTAGACGTTAATCATATGGTTTACGATAACCATTTAAAAGCTATTCCCTGGCCTACCATTATTCAAATGAGACAGACGCTGCCTGCTGCAAGTGGAGCCCTGTACTTTGTAGAGCCTGGGGCAGGCTGGTCGCCTCCTCCAGCCAATCAAACTGCCAGGCTGCATCTAGCATCCACACAGAGGGCTCAGAGGGCCCCGGCTGTGAGCAGTGGCTGCCTGCCATACAGCATCTTGCTGTAGGGGGCGCTATAAACAGCCCTGCATTTTACCATTTTCCCTTTGGGGGAAACAGAAAGAAGGGATAGATCAAGAGGTTGAGAACAGTGTGGTTGCCTCTGCTCAAGAAACTGTTGGATGAAATGAGAAAACTTTCTAGGCTTCAGTTTCTTCATCTGTAAAATGGGTTTAACAGCAACAACAAAAACATCCAAGATACTAAAATGGAAGAAAAGTGCAAAGAAATCTACAAGAAATATGAAACCCTGGGTAATGTGGCCCCTTAAGGATGCACCAACAAGTCACTCTTAAGTGACTAGGTCCCTTCAAAGCCATGATGATATTGGTTTCAGGAAGCTCAAAGTGCCCAGGAGACACCTCCAATCCATTACTACTTAGTTTCTTTGGGGGGGGGTGTGTGCCCAGAAATGGATTTCCCAAGCAACCCTCTCCAAAAATCTTGTTATAAATCTTATCCCTGTAAGTGGATCTCTTCAAAGAAGAGGGAGAAACTGGTCCCCAGCACACAAACTGTGCTCTGGACACCCTTCCCCCACCCAAGAGCATCCTTTTCCGCTTCCAGGCGAGGCTTTGAGATTCCCCCACTCCCATTCCTTCCACTGTCCCACTGACAGAGACCTTTATTCAAGTTCCCCCACTTACCTGTCTTGGGGTCTACATCAGCTGGTAAGTGTGGAGGTGGATTTCCCGGGGTGAAGTGTTCGTTGCTGTAGGTGATGAGAGGCGTGAGTGGGTGGACATGGTGGGGGTGCTGCACCACCGGTACTTTGTTCGACTGTGGGGGAGGGAGAACAGAGGAGGACACGGTGAGCTGGGTCACCATAGCCTACAACTTCAGAACAAGGGTGTGTGTCCCCTCCAACACCCTCCAAGCTGCCATGCCAACCCCCACCTCCCTAATCCATTTAAAGACAGGAGACAGTGTGCTCTCTGCACTGGCTTGCTTCAGGTTCACCTACGCGCGCCCTCAACATCACCACTGGAACCCAAGTTTCTGCACCTTTCCCATGAGCAGGGGGGACAAAAGTTGAAGCTTTACTCTGTTAGGCTTAGGAGGGTTAAGCACACAGTGGGGTGGAATGGTCTACCCCAACCACCTCTAGGAGGCAGACTGGCTTCACAGGTAAGGCAGGGAAAAAGAAATCATTTACAAGAAACCTGGAGACCCAGCCTTGCAGCCAGCCTCCTGACTCACCCCCTAGCTGCACAGGCTCTTACGCAGGAGGCTCCCACCCTTTATGCTCAGCCTGGATGGCAGACTGAACTTTTCCAGCTCTGGCCCAGCCAGCACCTGCATATCTTATGCAGATCACTGCAGCCCTGATTCATTAGGAAGCCATCAGGGACCGCTAATAAATTAACTGGATGATGATGAATTGGGCTAATAAACAGTATGAATTTGAGAAATGGGCAGTTCCAACCAATAAAGTACAAGTGTTTGTTGTGCTGGGGCAGGGTAGGTGGTGAGGAGAGGCAGAAAACGAGGAAAATAAGAGCATCTCAGACCTTCCTCACTGTCCTCTCCCCGGCCTTCCGGGGCACTCACCTCTCTCCACCCCTGGCTCTGGCCCCTCCCCCTCTATGCTGGGCTATAACTCAGCCCAGCAAGATCACAAAGGAAAAAAAAATTAAGCTGAAACAAGCGAACTACTGGGCCATTTACTGAGAGTAATCCAATTGCAAAAAACCCTATTCCCAATAGGGGATTTTCACTAAAATCCTACAACAGGGACATTTAACCAGATTAGGTACCAGAGAAGATAAAGAGGCTAGTATTAGATGATGAATGGATTAGAGTCAAGTTTCATTTCAGAATGTGTCTTCATTTCCTTTTATTACTTCTAGGAAGGGCACAAGTTGCATTAACATCAAGGAAAAGGAATTGCATTAAAAGCAAAGAAGGCAGGTTCCAGCACTGCCCACCAGCGCCTCGAGTTCAGGGACCACTGAGCAGCTAGCTCTCTTCCCATGTTCCCTCCTGGTTCCCTTTTTGGCTTTTTAAATAGATGAGGAAGGCATAAAACACAGGAAGAGCAGCTTCCTAGCACAGTTAAGGCATCGTCAAAAGGCGTAACTTTCCCATGGCATGTCAGCAAAGAAAAACACAGTCTTTCTAGAAGATCCCAAAAGAGCATCTCCAGTCACTTGGTTTACAGCTTCCTACGCAACTATAACTCTTCCAGAGAAAAACGGCTAGCCAATTGCTCAGGGGACCCGGCTACCTTTCTGTAGATGAAAATGATTAAGGTTTGAAAAGAGTGACCTCAGAATCAGCAAGCAGGGTGGTGGCCAGGCGAGGTGTATGGATGCAAAGGGTTGCTGTGCCCAAGCCTGCGGCCGGACCTCCTGGAAGTGTACTAAGAGCCCTACAAGAGGAGACTCCCAGAAAAGTCTTCTGTCAAGAATGACTGAGGAGGAGGAAGGGGTTAGTTCCCATGGCAGAAAGTAAGAAGAGTGGGGGAAAGAAAGAGACAGGCAGGGATGGGCTGGGAAATACTTGGAAGGAAGGGCATTTTCAACTTGACAGCACACGGGGAAGGCACGCACAGACCAAACACATGGTGTATTTATCAGCTGTACGCATTCACGGTCATTGTCCTGATTAGCAAAGAGTTGACAGGGGACACGGTGGGCCTGTCACCAATTCCAGACTATCTTCCAAGCAGGATTACTAGGGAGCATGGGGAACCTTCTTTCCCTCTGGGTACAGGGAGAGACGACAACGTTTGGTAACAGTAAGACGGGTGAAGAACTTGGTTCTCCAGGTAATTTTAACAAAGCCCGAGCTCAGTGACTGCTGCCAATGCTCCTGTATCATTCGAAAGCCTAGCCCAGATTACACCCCCCAGTAGAGCTATGGAGTAGGAGGTAGAGAGAGCGGGAGACAAATGGAAACTTGAGGTGCTACCTGACTTTAGCAGTAGCATGGGAGTCTACTAGGCTACAACCTTGACGATATAACCAGCAGGTCCCCAGAAACTGCATGGCCCGCTGTCTATCCAGGCTGATCTGCTCTCAGGGGAGGAAGGACACCATGGTCCAATATGCCCAAAAGCACACACAGCCTGCCAGTACCTGGATCCCTTACAACAAAGAGCTTGCTTCCTGTAGACACCTGAGTCTCTCTAGCCTCGGACCAAGGTCCTTTCTCTTCACATTACATTCTTTCCATTACAGGAGTGGAGCGCCCACCTCTCTTGGCCCACACAACACTTATCCTGAGAGACTTTGAATCCTGGCAATGTCCAGCCCGTTCTAGCAAGTAGGTACCATCTCAAAGGCCACATGAAAGCCACCAAACTGAAGCACATGTGGTAGAACACGACAGAGCCAATCAACCAGAGGACCCGGTTTCTGGAAGGGGTGGACTCCGTCAACGCTGTCCACTCAGAATCAGAGATGAGTGCCGGATGGTTGGCACACGTGGTCCAAAGCTCTTGCAGACACCATCTCAGTTACAGCGTGTCTTTAAGATGGATTTTAGGCCGGCTTCTCAGACACTGAGAATGAGAGCCGTGAATTTTAGGAGGGCTGAGATGGAGATTCTGCTTCACTGGCCTGGCCGAGTGGTGTCTCCCCTCCCTACCCTCTTCTTCCTTCCACCCCCTCAGTAGCCTTCATTTCTGCCTCCAGGGACATACTGTGCCTGTGTGCCTGTCCTGCAGGGTTATGAAGATTGAGTAAGATTGTGCGTGCACAGTGCCCCACACAAAGGCAGATACACAATAAATACAAAGGAACTTGGCAAATGCAATCTAGATAAGATACACGGCACTGGTTAACCACTAAGCTAATATCTCCCAATTCAACTCACAGAGGAAAAAATGCAGCCTCAGAACACGTCCTTTGTTGCACAGGAAAGAAATGACCACCTAGACATTGAGCACGGATGACCTGGGACCTCCCTACCCAAGTCACACATCCTTCTTAAAAATGCAGTGTTTAACACGGTGGGGCGGGGGGGGGGGGGAAAAACCACTTTACTGAACAGTGATAAGACTGCCATGGAGGGATTTAAAATAAAAAAAAAAAATAACAAAACATACGAAAATCCTGGAGATAAACAGGTCCTCTAGAGTCAGGATGAGAACATTTAAAATGGACTGGCAGAAGTGAAGAAGATATTCAAATCCATTCCCCTCCCATCGCCCTGAACAACTCTCATTGCTTTAAGGAGATCTTCAGCATCATGCTTACTCTAGACACTGGGAGAAAAGTAACTTCACTGGGGGGTGGGGGGGAGTCACAGTCAAGGTCCCAGAAATGCATCATGGGGGCTGAAAGGGAAGGCAACATTTCTACATCCTTTCCTCATAGACAAAAGTCCAGATTTTAAGACAGCCACCTGTAACGGAAAACCTGTTCATTGGCTTTACTGTGGCGTATCTGTAAAAGGACCTGGGTCAAAAAATCTGTGACAGCCAGCTCATGTTCAAGGTCATGGTCGTGATGGTCAGGGATGACTCAGTGAGGAGCCTACTACCAGTAACCCCTTCAGAACATCACAAAGCTCTGCATGGCTGTGCCACCAGAGAAACCAAATATCCATAAGATACTCCAATTCTCCATAGCATTTCAAAGCTAGGCTACCACAGCTCCCCACACATTCTGCTCACTACCAGGAATTCACCCATGTGGCCATTTTAAGGACCTTGTCTTGCTGGTCCCAGAACAAGAAAGGAACCAACCAATGGCTACACCAAAGCCCTGTCACCATCCTAGAGCAGCTTCTTCGCGCCCAGATGTGCACCCCTGCCCACCAGTCACATTGACTCAGTGTGGCCACGGCATGCATAATGAACAACTGGCCTCTGTTATTTGTTCCAGATACCAGTGAACACGTATTTCTTGAACACCTTGGTAAAGTGGTGTTTCCGAACCTAGCAGCGCCCCCAATTCCTCCACCATTCTAATGCCTGTAGACCAGAATGGCTGGGGGCAGGAACTGCCGTGTCGATGGAGCAAGCGAGAGGCAGCCTGTGTCAATCTTCTCCAAACACAGATGCTTCGGGACCGAGAGGAAATCAGTCACCCAATGCAAAATCAGGTTGTCTCCGGGTCCCCTGCCCCTCCCGGACCCCTGACTCCACCAGGCAAGCCCTTGCACTGGCTTCATTCAGAGGGGCTTTTCCAGCATGGGGCTGATGAGTGGAGATGGGAACAACCAGGGCTTTGAACAGGCTGCCTCAGCTCCCCAAATACAGCCAGGCCCCGGCAGAGTTTTGGTGACAAAGTGCTGCATGTGGTTAGCTCCGGGCTTACAAGAAACCAAAGAAAATAAACAAGCTATCTAAAACCCTGAACTCAGCAAAGGAGGCAAACACTGTGTGCACAAAGGGACCAGAACTCTTCATCTGAGTTTCAGTCACTGGTGCTCTGTGCTTTCTACCTGGACAGACTCCCAACCCCCAGGTGAGGCTCTCCTTGTTCCCTTCATTAAACTCCATGTGCGCCCTGAATAGTGAAGAAGAGATTCTTCAATGGCCCTCAGAATACACAAAGCCTTTCCACCCACACGAGTATTCATCCAGCTACGGGGGGAGGGGGGGGAGGAGGTGGGGGGAGTGACCCTGTGGGTGCCCTTTGACCTCTCAAGAGCCCTTAGGTTCAGTGTTCAGCAACTTGACCATTGCCAGGCACCCATTCACCCTCCAAACCCTGCTCAGAAATCGGGACCTTCTGTCCCTCCAACAACCACCCTCTGACCCCAACCCCTCAACCTCCTAGAAGCGGGAGCTCGCCATTCACCTCTGCCGCCTATTAATCAAAGACAGT